TACAGAGTGACTTCCCAGATTCCTCCTTCCAATTTTGTGTTACACAAAATGTACACACTAAGCTAAGCTTCCAAAGCATAGGTGATTATTTAATTTCCTACAAATTCCCTGAATTAATATAACTTCAGAGAGCTTAATACACTGATTGCTTTGGGCTCACCCTGTTTTTTGGGTTGTTGTTTTTCTGTTTGTTTAATTGTTTAAATTCCCACACGTACCAGAAAGATGACTAGAAACTGTGATTTTGTCCTCCAAGTGGAGGAAGGTTCACAGCCTCTGCCACCTGCTCTCCTGCAGAGCTTAGCAGTGAAAACCTTCCTCATAAGAGACCAGACCTTTTCACAAACAATGTATTTCAGGCAAGTATTGAAAGTCCCAGGAGTAACCTCATAAAAGAGAGAAAGAGCTACACTGTATAGCCAGTACTTACCTCATTAGAAAAGATGAAATGGCCACAACTGATGATATTGTAACAGGTGTTTGAAAGCATTATGGTACATTTAACCTGCACAGTCAGTGCATCAGCTCCATTACCAGGATTTAGCATAGCCTAAATGTTACTCCAAATATAAAACACAATGTGAACCATATCGTATATGTTGCATAGTTTGAAAAGAATAAAATAGCTGTGGCTTCTGGGACTTATCTCATCAGGAGACAACAAGAAAACAACTTTTTCTGTCAAGTACTGTTTCTGATTTTATGTTGCCTTACATAACAACTTATCTCAGAAATAAAAAGTAAGAAATTTTACCACAAGCTTTTATGCCACCAAGGAGAGTTATTTAAACTCACATTTTTTCATACTGGAGATTTATCATAGATAAATTAATGTTAAAATAAAGAAGGAAGAATGAATTGTTTATCTGTAACTTAATATATTTGAGCAACTACATAATGTAAATATGTGCCTGCTAAACATCAGCGTTCTAAGATAGAGTTCATTTTGATAGTGCTCATATTATTCTACTTATTCTGCTTATTCTACCTCATGAGATCATACAAATTCCTTTGAACTTTAAAAATTTCTTTCCACAGAGGTACTCTACGCAAGTAGACAGACAAGAACATTGTATACATTTTGTTAACATTGTTAACAAAATTAATATAGAAACATTTCTTCCTGCAGGATGTGTAAATGCTACTTGTTTTGAGGTTGTGATATTTTGCTTTCTTTCCTTTTTCCTAACGTAGTATTTACAGAAGGAAACATCAGGAAACCTCACAGGAGCATCTAGGCGGGGAATCATTGAGTAGTGTAACAGTGAATATGCCAGAAAAGCAATCTAAATTGAACTTCATGTAACACTCAAACAATGATTCATAGTATCATTCTACGTTAAATACTGGAAAAGAACATTTTTGCACCTTTCCAGATTGCATCTTCAACCAACACAGTTCAGTGCGGGATCAGGACGAATAATTATTTGAAATAGAAACAAAATACAAATATTAAAAAATCCCATCCTAGTCAATGATACTAACTATATTATTCTTTATGAAGATGTTTGAGGGTTATTAGGCACAGTATCTCTCCCTCTCTCTAGCCATCTGCACAATGACCAGAGCTCAGGTGGAAAGCAACAGTATTCTGAGTGAAATAAATGATTGTTGGGCAGGCTTTCAGTCTCAAGACTTAAAAATCAGTATAGTATTACACAACATAGTATGACACAACATAGCATGACACAACTGTCATACTATATAATATAACACATATTACAAGGTGTATATGAATTCTTATTTCTGATTTTCTGGAGTTTCAGCCCATGAAAAATGTTCAGTAGAGGTTTGTCCTGGACAAAGTGTTATTATTAAACTTCCAAGTCCACATGTCAACACTGTTTTCATCAGATAGAATATGCTGCTGCATAGTTAAAAAAATTAGCACCCAGAGGATGCATGGTTGTGACTGGAAACATGTATAGAGAAAGCTTTTGTCTTTTAATGCGCAGATGAGCTGTATCACAGAAATATCCACAACATCTGCTTTGGACAAAAATGAGATTTTCTCAATCTCCTTTTCATATATTTCTAGCCATAATTAAGTAAAGGTTTTGTTTATTTTTCTGCATATTTGAGCAGCTGACTTAGCAAAAATTGCAAAAAGTGAGTTTTAATTTCTACTTATCTGTATTTTAAGCTGCTGTGCATTTAATTCTTCCTAAGTTTTCAGTAATGAATAAGTACTGGGCAAAAACAAACAAACAAAAAAAACCCCTTTCTCTCACTTACTTCTCTTGGCCAATTTCTGACTATATGGGAGTATAACTAGATCTGGTATAGTCCTACAGCTCCTCTGCAAATCTGAACTACCCTAAAGATGTCAGTTCCAAATGCAGACTCAGCAATAACTAACAAAACAGTATAATTTTTCTCAGGCCAGATCAGCAGTTATATTTGCCCAATGTGTTTCTATTATCAAGCTGAACGCAATGTCTCATCTCAGTATCTCATTCTTATTCTTCAGAGCATAGGAATATGCATGTCTCTGGCCAGATCAGTTCCACAAGCAGTCCCAAAGCAATCAACAGTTATTTCAACCAAAGTGAAATCATTTTACAGGCACTGAAAATTAAAGAGTGCATAAAGATATCTGCACATAACACACCAGAAAATGTTGATAATGGATAAGCTGGGATGAAATCTTAAATACGAGATAAATATCTCATAAATACCTTCACTTGACTTATATGATATTATATGATATTTCAGGAAGAAATGCAAAAAGATATAGGATGGTGATTTTCTTCCCCTTTGTCCAAATGCAGGTTATCATCTGTTTCTCCCTGAATTACTGAAGAAAATCATTTCCTTGATAGTTTTTTCCTCCTTAAGTAAGACTATGAAATTTAGAGACTGCAAATTATTCTGTGTGATAGAACAGCCTCAAAATGGATGCTGCTCAGACAGGAATGCTAACATAACTCGTCAGCCCAAATGACCTTCCTCTGAGACTTTTTGCTTTGGGATGACATGGATATACTCTACAAGTCCTAGTCTTGAGATTCTGCAAGAACAATTCTAAAGTTATATTGTTTTAAAAGAAAGTCATCTAATCATGTTATGTCTGAAATAAATTATAAAGCTGTTGTAAAACACTTTTTTATTGTCAGGTCAGTCAAAATTAAATTATTAAGGATGTATCTATGTACTGATGCATACTTTTACCAATTACTGGTAAACTTGTCACTTAAATTCCTTAGAACCTACACTGCAAACTGAGAACTGAAGTCCAGAAATTAACTGCGATGAACAGAAAAACAGGACATACCTGAGTGCTTCAGAAAGAAAAACAAAACAGCAACGACAAAAAAGCCCCACCACCAACAAAAACCAGAACACACTGTGAAAGCTCTAAAATGCCTTTGTAATTTCTTTCTTTAAGGAGGAAAGGGACAGAGAGGGAGAGAGGGGGAGAGAGAGGAAGAGAGGAAAAGAGAGAGGGAAAGAGAAGGTGTGGTGGGAAGACAGCTTACAAGAAAGGGAAAAAAAGTCGCTCCTGGTTTTGTAAGTAGTCTTCATTAAGTCAGAGAAAACTGGAATTAGAATTCTCTATCTCAGCCTTCTGACAGGAATCTTCATTTCAATGGATGGATCACCTAGCCTAAACAGCTTCTAAAAACCCTGCTGGTTTTTTTTTGTTGTTGTTTGGTTGGTTTTTTGGGGCTGGGGGGTAATGGTAGTTTTTTGTTTGCTTGCTTGTTTTTTTTTTTGGTATCTAATAGTTTAATTTTTTTTTCTTAAATAGCACTAAAATCTAAAATTGTATGTTATGACATACAGCATTTTCCATGAAGATGGAATACTGAAATTCCAGCATTTCAAATAAACTTAGCATTTAAAGTAACCTCAAGACCTTACACGTTGCAAATTAAAAATAAAAAATAAATACTTTTCTCCTATATGTGGGCACTTTACAAGTAAATAATACATAAGTAAGGACACATCTTCAAATGGCACATACTCTTGTGTAAGATGGCTCAAAATGTCCATGAGATACAACACAAACTACACTTCTTTGCCTTTTTATTCCTCTTTAAATTGCTACTATTATATATCTATATATAATATACTATTATATATCTCCAAGAAAGATAAATTAAACTGTTATGAGGCAGTAATAATTCCATGTCTAGGAACAGAAGCAGCATTGAAAACTAACCAACTAACCTACTAAGCTGTTGGCATTTTTGTTTTGTTTTGTTTTGTTTTTTAATTGTAAACAGCTTAAGAACATCAAGAAACTGAGAAGATAAGACAGTGAAGTTACACCAAGAGTTAATTTGTTCTTACTAGGCAAGTTTATTCTGGTCACTCGTAATTGGTCACTGTAACACTCTGGTCACTTTAAGTTTAGCTAAATAATTAATGAACTTTCAGTGTAGCTATGGAATAAGCAGGGCATTTTTTTCCCCCTTATTTTATGAAGTTTAGTTAAGCCTGATGAAATGTAACAGCCAAATTCTCATTGAATAGGGAAAGCAGAATAGAATGTTTGAATGTGCTCTTATATTAAAAACAAAGCAAGTAGTTTTACAGTTATGTGTTTCAATGTAAGAAGTGTTGATATATAAATAATTTTTCCAGTGAATCACAACTGCTAAAGAAATGTTTGACAAAAAGAAAAAAAAACAAGTACTATGCTAAAGTTTGTCCATTGCTGTAAGGAAAGTATGTCAGTGATATGACTTCATATTACATCCAGTGATATTGTGACAAAAGTGAAAGAAAGGAAAAAAAAAATGGAAGGAAGGAAGGAAGGAGAAGGAGGGAAAGAGGGAAGGGAAGGGAGAGGAAGGAGGGA